TTTGCTCAGTGTAATGTTGGAATGTTTTAATTCTCACTAATTTGCTTTACTTCGGTAACAGATGTCAAAGATTCGGCGCGATTCTGCTTCTCCAAAATTCTAATTGGCCACCGTTTGCAAGACCCAAGCCTGGATAAACAAAGAGGGGCTTGTCAGTTGTATAATCTACTGGTGTGTCACTGTGCAGGACACTTTTATCATCTCTGGATACACTGTGTATGGTTGAGTGGTTGCTTGATGCCTTCTACAATGAAAACTTTTACGTAGTTCCTTAAGGCCAGACCAAACCTGACTAGTATCAAGATCAATAGAGTACAAACTAAATGAATGACAATGCTCATCAGATAGAACCTTCACTAATTAAAAGAAGACACAAACTCCACAGCAACATGAATTATTTGTTCACAATTTCAAGAGGCCTGGCTCCTGCTGTTCTAATTGGGCGCGGTTAACCAGCGATTCAGGCCAGTCATTGTGACACTTCGACCAATCAGATTCAAATAGTCGTCATGATGTTCTACCTAGGCCTGTAACGATAATCAATAAATCGATTAATCGTACGATAACTTTTAACAAGCTTGATAACTTTTCCAGCCACAATAAATTCTATTTGCTTGCTTGTTTGTTTTCCTCACTCTCTCGCTCTTAAAGACACTGAATGTTAGAAACTTCTATCACTCTCTGACTCGTCTCGTTTACAAGTGTAATGACGCTTGAACCAACGTGCGCTGTGTTTATCAACAGAGCGGATGCGCGTAGTCTGTGCGCTTTCTGCACTCCGCTGTGTGGTGAGCTAGGAACACAAGCTAGCACCGCTGTCAGAGTAACAAAACAGTTCATCGCCAAAACAAGTCACGATGCCGAATCAACACTGGTGAGCGGGACACGTCTCAACAGCCACATGCCTCAAATGCAGCGAGCGTGAAAACAACGAGAAGAAATGTCTCAAACCCCAACAGTCGACATAAACCCAAACCCGAACGACACAACTAGCCTAGCGCCCAGGAAGAGCCCAAAATCCTGAAACCGAACCGACACGACACCAGACAGAACAGAGGCTCCCTCACAGCGAAACAGCATCCTGTGTCACAGGTTAATACGAACATTTAAATGATCAAAATGCCGAGCAGCAGCCACAGAGAGATGAGTCACTATACACCAATGTAAGTCAGTGATTAAAATAACTTAAGGACAATTTTGTTACAGAGACTTAATAATCCATTTTATTTAATGCTTTGGTTGTGTTTGGTTCAACAGTGGTTTATTCAGGTACATTTTTGTGAACAAGTCCTTGCTGTGAGTCAGACACATTAGACTAGTCCTGTGTTAAGTCTGTTTTATTTAGGCCTGTTGTTTTTGGTTGTCTTACACTTCCTGTGTTAAATGTTCTTTAGAAAGTAAAGTTTATTGATCATTGAGAGGATGTATTTGCATTTTTATTCCACGGTCATTATATTAGTTGAAATTGGTCTCAAAATGTCAATATTATCGTTTATTGCAATAAATTCTTGGTCAATTAAACGTCCAGCAAAATTTGTTATCGTTACAGGCCTAGTTCTATCTTTTCCTAGTCTCTTTCAGCGAGAGCCGTTCCAGCTTGATAATGTGTAGAACTCAATTCAGGGTGCTACACATATTGGTGTTGTCCAGAAAACTTACCTATAAAACCAGCTGTGTGAAAAATCCCTCAGTCGCCCCGATAGAATCTATGGCAAAGGAGAAATTCAATTTGTCAACTGGACAAAGTTTATTTGGTCAAATCTGTTTCGCAGCTCATCCAAGCTACATCTTCAGTTCTGTAATAAACTGAAGAAGCAGGAGAAATTCAGTTTTGACAAATTGAATTTCTCCTTCGCTATATAACAAGTTGTGAATATATTCAATTTTACACAACATAACAAGCTTGGATCAGTGACAAAAAGTGAAGCTGTGTTCAGATCGAGGAGTCGAAAAAAGCGCTGAACGCCTCAAGATGGACACCTTTGCATTTGAGTTGAGACGCCCAGCCCACATCATGGACTCTGTGGATGAACATCGGAGAAAAATACTTCAGTGCGTGTCCAGGGTGCCTATTGCGGCTTTGCGAGTGCCTTTGGGTGTTGTGTTGCTCTTTGTGAACAATGGCAAAGCAGGAGAGAGAGTGGCTTTAGTAGTAATTATTACATAAAACCCATCGGCAGAGGCGATCGGCGGCGTGACTTGGTCCATGACATAAGGCATTCGGAGTTTGGCCAGTTTCATTTCTGGCTCCCGGGTCTGTCTCTTTCTTCTACTTTTAATAATAATGACGTTGCTATGTCACTGAAGAGTCGTCCTTGATCGGTCCACCATTGTTGTGGTGAATCAGATGCTCTGAACGAATCAGTGTATCATTCGTTCATTCATTTTTCAATATAAAACCAAAAATAAGAAAACAAAATACAACTGTTTTCTTCATTATTTGTCTCCAAAACCAAAATGAAAAAACTGATAATGATTCGTTTTTTCAGTTTTCGATTTTGTGTTTAAATGAAGAATGGAAAAAACAGATAACGTTCCCGTTTACGTGACTTCAGTAACTGCGATGCCGAACTTTTGCACTGCATACGGACTGAACCAGGACTGATCCAGGTCCGGGACCAGACCAGAACCAGACCGGAACCAGACCGGAACCAGACCGGGACCAGAGCGGGACCAGAGCTTTGACTCCGAGCCTCAGCTTTGAGCTCTGGCCCTGCCGTGGGCTCTGAGCCTCCAGTCTGGTCCCAGCCTGGTCTCGGTCTCAGTCCCGGTCTCAGTCTCAGTCTGGTCCTGGTCTGGTCCTGGTCTGGTCCTGGCCTGAGTCTCGGTCTGGTCCCGGTTTCAGTTCTGATCTCAGTCTCTGTCTCAATCTCGGTCTCAGTCCTGCTCTGGTCCCTGTCTGGGTCCCGGTCTGGTCCCAGTCTGGTCCCGGACCTGGTTCAGTCCTGGTTCAGTCCGTAGGCAGCGCAAAAGTCCGGCATCACAGTCATGGAAGTCACGTAAACGGGGAAACGACCGTTATCCGTTTTTTCCATTTTTCATTTAAACACAAAATCGAAAACTGAAAAAACAAATCCTTATCCGATTTTTCATTTTGGTTTTGGAGACAAATAATGAAGAAAACTTTTTTTCGTTTTCTTATTTTTGGTTTTATATTGAAAAATAAATGAACGAATGATACACGGATGTGAACGCATAACCAGAGCGTGTCAACACCAGATTGGCACCACGCTGACCCTCTAAGACACGCCGCTGAAATGTAATTACAATAGATCTAAAATGGGTTCATAATTATTCAGCATTCAGATTCATATATCAGTGCTGTGATACTGAATAGAATAAAAGAAATGTCCAAAAGAGGAAACCACAAATGTTGAATCTCATATTTCTGTTCATTATTATACAAATGCATTAGTCACTTTTCAGATTCGTGCATTATCCACACTGCGCACTAGTGGTGTGTGTGGTAATAAAATACTAAAAATACGCAAAAAAACCAACAAAAAAAAACCCACAAACAAAAGCATTCCAAAAGTTGTCCTTCCTTTGCAAAATCCGACTATTCAATTCTATTTATCATCGAGCCCTCTTTCATTTTGGCCTGTTTACAAGTCCACCCCCATCTCTTTATTTCCAGAATCCTTTGTTTCTAATGCGTCCGGTCTGTGTAGCGTCCGTCTGCCCACTGCCCACTGCCCACTGTCTCTGGCTCTGTCCCTGTCCAATATGGCGGAGGACCTGCTTTCTATGTGGACAGCTGTGGTTCTGTGGGGTGTGATAGCTCCACCATTTGTCATAAAATTCTCATATCAGGAACGGACAGACGTCGGCGTGTTTTGTAGTGCGGCCCGTTAAAGCTAAATAGAAGTATCTTGTCTTCGTAAAAAACGGCGATTGAATTCTGAGAGCAAAATAAATTAACAAATAAAAGGAAAAAAAATATATGTACGGAAATGATTTTGAGTGAAAGCTGTATGTTGTCATGAATTTGAATTTAAAAAAAATCCAAGCCAAGTGTTGTTCTGTTTCTGAGAGATAAAAAATTTACAAAATATTAAAGGTGCCATATTGCTATAGTATTTGTCAAACGTATCGAAAATCAAATATTAAAACTAATATCGAAACTAGATACTCTAAATTTAAAGTGGAAGTAATATGTCAAGTAGATTTTTTATTTTTTTTTAGCTTTCTACCAAGTTATAATGTTGTTCCCTCATTCTAAAGAGGTTTTAGATGTCATTCATGCATGTTTGAGTAATTTAGTGATCTCTCCTGGACCCTCCTCACTGTTAGCTTTTAGATTTTGTGCAAGGCTCCGCCCACAAGCCTAGGTATGATACAAAATTGTACAATGTGTTTTTTGTTTTTTTTAAAGCGGTGACTTTGCTGCTATAGTGTTGTCAAAAGTATCGAAAATCAAATATTAAAACTAGTATCGAAAGTAGATACTCATTTAAAGTGGGAGCGATACGTGAAATAGATTTTTTTTAGCTTTTTACCAAGTTGTTTCCTCATTCTAAAGAGGTTTTAGATGTCATTCATGCATGTTTGAGCAATCTGGTGATCTCTCTTGGGCCCTAGTCGAACGCTCCTCACTGTTAGCTGTAAGATTTTGTGCAAGAGTCCACCCACAAGTCTATGTCACCCATGCTCCTACTCGATACTTCTTCATAAAATACACAAAAACATGATGCAAATCTGTCCACGGCAACGTCACAAACCTGGTGCAATGTGCAGTAGTTTCATAAGCAGGAAGCATGATGATTGTGTTATGATAGTGCTCTGAAGGGGGAGTGACTCAGCGTGGAGAGCACGGAAAACAAAACTGATACTTATAAGACGTGTTCATAGAATATCGCATTTTCAAAACAATAAAAGGTAACATGGTGATCTAAGTATGTTATGTGTTAGTTAAAACCACATAGAAGTGTAATGTCCGCTCTTTATATTCTATGAAATTGTAGTAGTACTAATCATAATATTTTGGTTGTGTGTTTCAGTTGGTGGAGCCCCTGACCCCCAGTGGAACAGCCCCTAACCAGGCCCAGCTCAGAATCCTGAAGGAGACTGAACTCAAGAGGGTCAAGATACTGGGCTCTGGAGCGTTTGGGACGGTCTATAAGGTTGGTTGAAGTGGAATTAAACACCAAATCAAAGTTTTTTGCTACTCAACTGTGTACTGGATGTTTTAATGGCATTTTCTAGGTAAATTTGCAGCTTTCTGGTTAAAAAAAAAAGACAAATCTGAGTGTGTGTTGCCTCCAGTGGCCATTGCGAATTCAAGTATTATATGACATCACACAGAACTGCCCTCATTAGTGTAGGGGCGGAGTTTGAAGTGTGGACGCCTGTTAGACCAATCACACTCATCCAGACCCTACACGTCCTTCCTACCTACACACTCTCCCCTTTAGCCCTCCAGAGCTTGCTCCTTTTCCAACCCCCTTACACTCCTCTTTAGGCATCCAGACCCTGCTCCCCTTCATCCCTCCTAAGTCTCCTTTACTCCTCCAGAATCTGCCCCCCTCACTCTCCCCTTTAGCCCTTCAGACCCCGCTCCCCCTCCTCCCCCTCACTCTCCCATTTAGACCTCCAGTCCCTGATCCCCTTCCTCCCCCATTACACTCCCCTTTAGTCTTCAAGACCCTGCCCCTCACTCCCCCCTCACTCTCCCCTTAGTCCTCCAGACCCTGCTCCCCTCACTCTCCCCTTTAACCCTCCAGACCTTGCTCCCCTTCCTCCCCCCTCACTTTCCCCTTTAACCCTCCAGACCTTGCTCCCCTTCCTCCCCCCTCACTTTCCCCTTTAGTCCTCCAGACCCCGTTTCCCCCTCCTCCCCCCTCACTCTCCCCTATAGTCCTCTAGACCCCGCCCCTACTTTCCCCCTCACTCTCCCGTTTAGTCCTTCAGACCCCGCTCCTCCCCTCCCCTAAACTCTCCCCTTTAGTCCTCCAGACCCTGCCTCTGCTCCCCCTTCACTCTCCCCTTTAGGCCTTCAGACCCCATTCCTTTCCTCCCCCTCACTTTTCCCTTTTACTCCTTCAGTACCCCCCCCCCACCCACCTAACCCCTCACTTTCCCTTTTAGTCTTCCAGACCCACCATTCCTTCCTTTAGTGCTCTCGACCCCTCCTCTCCTCCCCTCTCATTCTCCCCTTTAGTCCTCCAGACCTCGCCCCTCCTCCTTCCTCACTTTCCCCTTTAGTCCTCCATAACCCGCTTCCACAAAGACTGCAGCCTTTAGAATTTGCTAATTGTCTCTAAAATTGTTATTTTGATTCAATTACGATTAATTTTACAGCTCTAGTCAATTACAAACGTACAAAAGTGGTAAATATAACAGTCAAATACTTCTCAGGACTCTCGAGTTTGAAGCAAATCAATGAACATGAAGTCGAGTTACTGTATATCCCTGAAATCTCCAGTATAACTTTTCTCATGGAACAGTCCCGTAGGTTTTCAATGGACAAATGAATGAGATTGGGTTTGGGGGAGTAGAACATTAAGTCTTGTACAGCAGGTGGACTGTTTGAGACCCAGAGCTCATCTCGTCTTCATTTGTCGTTAATGCATTGTGGGAGTTGTCTGTTCACATATGGAGCAGAGATTGCCGTGTTTCAGATGGTATCACAGCATCTATAGGCCAATTATATTCAGTACATGTGGGGGATATTGTTAAAGATCCACTGCGGAACATTTCTAGTGGAGGATCCGCCGCCTGATGTTATTGCTTTGTCTAGAAAGTTGAATGGTATTAGATAGAAAGGTTTAAAAGAAAGGTTTAATCTATCGTGAAGGAGACTAGCAGGTCACAGCACTACGCCACGTTACAAGTCAGATCTGTGGAGAGTCGTCCCTATTCACAGAAAGAATTGTCATGTTTCTGAGTAATAGAAACTCCTGTAATGATTAAATGCTATGGGAATGTCTAAAGGTTTTCTGCCGGAAGGTCTGTCAAATGCTTTTCTCCATAGAGATGTTATTGCTTTGTACAGAATGTTTCACAGTATGGCATTAAAGTTTTCTATCTTCATGGAGACCAAACCAGACCAAGTTACAAGTCAGATCTCTGGAGAGGCGACCCCGCTCACAATCAGAATTTTGTGTTGAAATGAATAATGGCAAAAACGGATAACAGCAGTTTCCTGTTTCTGACTTAAACTGCGATGCCGGACTTTTGCGCTGCATACAGACTGAACCAGGACTAAACCAGGTCTAAACCAGGTCTAAACCAGGTCTAAACCAGGACTAAACCAGGTCTAAACCAGGTCTAAACCAGGTCTAAACCAGGACTAAACCAGGACTAAACCAGGACTAAACCAGGTCTAAACCAGGTCTAAACCAGGACTAAACCAGGACTAAACCAGGTCTTAACCAGAAATAAACCAGGTCTAAACCAGGACTAAACCGGGATTAAACCAGTCTCAGTCCTAGTCCCGGTCTCAGTCCTGGCCTCAGTCCCAGTCTGGTCCCGGTCTGGTCTTATTCCCGGTCTCAGTCCTCATATTGTCCCAGTGTGGTCTTTGTCTCAGTCTCAGTTTCAGTCTCAGACCAGGACCAGGTTTAGTCCTTGTCCTGGTAGACCTGGTTTAGTCCTGGTTCAGTTCTGGTTTAGACCTGGTTTAGACCTGGTTAAGACCTCGTTTAGTGTCGTTTTAGTCCTGGTTCAGTCCCTGTTCAGTCCTATGCGGCGCAAAAGTCCAGCATCGCAGTTTAAGTCACAGAAACGGGAAACGACCTTCAACAGTTTTTTTATTTTTTTTTTTTTCATTATTCATTTAAACACTAATTTGAAAACTGAAAAAACAAGTTGTTATCCGTTTTTTCATTTTGGTTTTGGAGACAAATAATGAAGAAAATAGTTGTTTTATCGTTTTATTTTGAAAAACGAATGAACAAATGGTACACGGATTGTGGAACGTTCCAAACAGAGCCATGACATCTCCATAAAAAACAAGCAGGTTTTGAGTCGTAATACAGTGAAAACTTTGGTCTTGGGTCATCAGGATAAACATTTGTGAATCTACACTCGCTGACACTGGCGTTTAAATCCAAGGAAGCGAAAGTTGGCACCAAACGATCAGTAGTTTTTCGGTGCCAGTGCTTACCAGACCTTTTCTGTTGGTTCACTTGGAGTTCCGTGCCCAGCCTTAGGCACTGGCAACCCATGTTCAGTTGTGATTGTAATATTCAGCAATACAGTTCTTTTAAAGGTGCACTGTGTAACTTTTCTGGTGGAGGGGTCCGCTCACTACTCGTTTCCGTGGAGATATTAATGCTTTGCCTGGAATGTGCCACAGTATCGGATTAGACTTGGCCATTTCCATAAAAAGCATGTATTTCAAGGTATTTTTGAGCTATAAAAACAAATTTAATTGATATTTTTTAATGCTGTACTGTGGAATATTCTAGACAAAGCAATAACGTCGTCACAGAGACAAGTTAGTGGTGATCCGTACCCATGAAAGTTACACAATGCATCTTTATTTTTCAGGGGAGGCCACATTTCCATTTAATATACATCTTTCAGATTTAATGATCCATTCACTTCTACACTTGTAAACCAAAATGTTTGATCTTATATCTTAAAGGTGCATTGTGTAACTTTTCTGGCTCCGTCAAATGCTCGTCTCCATGGAGATGTTATTGCTTTTCCTGGAATTTTTCACAGTGCAGTTGAATAAATGTAAGGTAGAGCTGTTTAATGAAATATTGTGGAACGTTCTAGGCAGATCAATGACATCTCCATAGAAACAAGCAGGTGACTGACCCCCAACCGAAAAGTTACACAGTGCACCTTTAAGCACAAACTCTTCTCCTAATCCCAGTTCATACAAACTCATACAGAACCAGGGCAAACCAAGGACACAGCCAACGGGGGTTTGGCTGAAGCTCGGACACATTATTCACAACACTCCACAAGTCCAACAGCCTTGAATAAATACTTCCTCGACTACTTTCAAAAACCTATTTCCGGGCTGTTTTTATATCACCATTATTGACCAATGCAAAAACATGTTTTATTATGATTTTTTTTTTTCCATTTTTCATTCAGAGATCATCATGTGTCAACACACATCAAACTAATGATATTATTTGTTTAATCTTATTTGGAATTATATTTTTAAAGTCATTATTTGTTCACCAATTCATTATGTTTTGAAATTATTTAATTTAATTTCTGTTTGTTTTGTACTTTTAAACTTTTTTTTTTCTTGTGTACGTATATATTATGTATTGTACTTATATATATACATATGTATCTATGTTTTCACAGGGTATTTGGGTTCCAGAGGGTGAGACAGTGAAAATTCCAGTTGCCATCAAAATCCTGAATGAAGCCACCGGCCCCAAAGCCAACGTGGAGTTCATGGACGTGAGTATTTTAAACTATTCTACATGTTTTGTTTTTTTCATGGCTGATGCAATATCGATTGTTTACAACAACAAAAACGATAGCCGATAAACTCTACTGATATTTTGCATATATTGGGCTGATTTAGATGATTCCCCTCAAATTATGTAATTGAAATTTATTACAAACCTGAACCGCAAACCTTTCTACACAAACCTGTAACAGAGCTGTGTAATCACGTTTTGTACAGCTATATCTCTTATAATAAATTCTTAATATTAAACTTTGTGTGTATTTTGTAGGCAGCAAATTGACCAAAAGAAAATATCAGCCTATGTTAGAGGTTTATGGACAATAGGCTAAAAAGTCCAAATATCGTCAAACTGATATATATTGGCCGATATCTGTATTTTCTTCAGACCATATTGTTACATTACACCATGGTCTGATAAAAGGGAGGTCTGACGGGTGGAACTCATGGGTGGGTCTGGTGAAACGTGGGTCTGGTGGTGAAATATGGGTCTTGCAAAAGGTGGGTCTGGTGAAAGATGGCTCTGAATAAACATGGGTCTGGAGAAAGGTGGGTCTGGAAAAGGTGGGTCTGGAAAAAGGTGGGTCTGGAAAAAGGTGGGTCTGGAAAAAGGTGGGTCTGGAAAAAGGTGGGTCTGGAGAAAGATGGGTCTGGAGAAAGATGGGTCTCAAGAAACGTAGGTCTGAAGAAACGTAGGTCTGGAGAAATGTAGATTTGGAGAAATGTAGATTTGGAGAAAGATGGGTTTGGAGAAAGATGGGTCTGGAGAAAGATGGGTTTGGAGAAACGTAGGTTTGGAGAAAGGTGGGTTTGATGAAACATGGCTCTGGTGGAGAAACATGGGTCTGGAGAAACATGGGTCTTGTAAAAGATGGGTCTGAATAACCGTGGGTCTGGAGAAAGATGGGTATGGTGAAACTTGGGTCTGGTGGTGAAAGGTGGGTCTGGTGAATGGCAGGTCTGGTGGTGAACGATGGATCTAGTGGTGAAAGGTGGGACTGGATAAAGGCGGGTCTGGTGGTGAAAGGTGGGTCCGGTTGTTCTATCGACACCAGGGGCAGTTGTATTGAACCCGGGTCCATTAAAACCGCTCTTTATGAGTTTGCGCTTGATTTCGAAGCTGCACTGAAGGCTGTAAAGTTTCTAAAGACCGTCTGTCCATTTATCTCTGCTCTATCCATCCAAAATGCTTCTCAGAATGGCTTTTGTTAGCACCGGGCTGTAAAATTGACCGGGAAATAAAGCTGCACTGTGTAACCTTTCAAGTGGAGGCTGCTTATCTCCATGGCGGTTTTATTGCTTTGTCTCGAATTTTCCGCAATATGGCATTAAAGTTATCCGTCAACTGATATTGCTTCTGCTCAGAAAACAAAATCTGAATTCTTGGCATGGTTGTGCAAAATAACAAATGCAATACTGTGGAACGTTTGCCATGGTTTCATTCACACATTTTTAACGCATAAACCTCGCTCCACCTTGTGATGTCATGTCCAGTGTTGCGAATAAAGGCGTTTAAGTATAACAATGCAACTAATGGCGCTACATTTTCGGTAACAGAGTAATCTAATTAATTACACTCCCCATCGTTACCGGTGTTCTTTCTGTGACAGAGGGATGTTCTGCTGATGCTAAGTGTGTTTTGTGTTTCTATCGTGTTGGAGATGGTTCATGTTGAACTTTTCAGAGATTATACGTCTGCAGGTCATATGCACAGACCGTATATATGAATATATGCTAGCTAGGGATGGGCATTCGATTACATTTTCTTAATCAATCATTGGGAGAATTAACGATCGATTATTGATTAATCATGAACTCTTTTTTATATTAAAATTATCATCAGTATTATTTCTATCTGCACTACTAATCTGCATAAATAAATTCTATATTACGACATATAAACCGTAACCACTCTAGAGCCACATCAGTCCGTTTGACATTATAATGTCAGTTTTGCGCAACTCTCACAGAAACGAAACTTAAAACTGCATCGCTAATTTGCATAAACTAAGCGAAGAAAAAACACATCTCTTGTGCGCTGATGCAGCATGACTGGAATACAGGTTAGTGCGACCATATTTGCGTTTGTCAAAACCAGGACACTGTACGGGGGGTGGGAGGTGGGGCCTCGTCATCGACATTGCTCTACTCTCACCTGGCAAAGCTTTTTCATGTTTTTTGGTGTCCTGGTGAGCTTTTTCTCACTGGACACCGAAACATATGTGCTGCTTTGTAAACCGTGCACATGGACTCACACTTGTCCCGACCACAACGGAAAGTGTGGAATTTCTTGTACAAGTCATCGTTAAATACGCATTTGTGCTTCGGTACGTTGCAGACTGACCGACTGTTTGTGTCTCGCTCCTTCTGAGTGCAGAGAGACACATGTACGTACCCGTTTGTCCCGGGACACAGACGTTTGGTCACCCTACGCACAGCAACCTACATTCGGTTTGTCGATTAAAATGAACATAATCGATGAAATTCTTAATGATCAATTACTGAGTAATAGACTAATCATGCCCATCCCTAATGCCAGCCTCTTAGCTTTTTGGCGGTGAATTAACTACTTCGCGGCACATAGACCTACATCAGCGTATCAGTGTTTTCAGGCGTCCACACAGCGTCGGATCAGATCTACTCAGATGAATTCGTGGGAGCTGACGGCACCAGATTGTTCCGTCTCTGGAGCCGATTTCCATCAGATTAGTGTGAACGAACACTGCATCCACAACAAAAACAATTCAAAGACGTACTAGTGTGGACGGGGCCTAAAGGTAAACGACAGCTGGTAATTTGAAAGCTACCACTGTATGACATCACAAGGTGGAACAGAGCATTTTGAGCTTTGGCGATACTAATAGTAAAGTGTTACTCAAACATGTGTGAATGAAACAAAACACAACTCCAGTTTTTGACGAGATAACAACATTATAAAGGGACGTAAAGCTCACAAGAATCCATGTTGCGTAATATCAGACCTTTAATATAACTTCTATGTTATTATTTACTCCATAATAATAAAAAAATGTATTGTAGTGAATATAAAATCTCTAAGAACACATTTTGCAATTAGATCTACCATTTTCCAGATTTTATTTTACTTTTTAAAGGTTCTATAGTCTATAGTTCTATAGTCTAAAATGCCGCCATGTTTTTCTGTACGATATTCACGACAATTACACAATTTCATTTTAAAATGTCACCAAAAATTTTACATATTTAAAGGCTCTATTTTACGCTATTTATTGTTTGATCTGGCAATTGGAAATTCCAGAGCTAAAATCGTCCATATGATTCTAGTGAAGGTGTATGGAGTTTAAAAACACAATGGAGCACTTCCTGTATCACTACATGACATCACAAGTTGGAACAGAGTGTTTTCTGTTTGAGAGAAGAACTAAGAACCTTAAATCTGCAGGGTTTGTGTGTTGAATTGTGTGAATGAAACAAAACACAACTCCACGTCTGTTTGTTTAACAACGATCAGAAAATTGTGTAAAATGGAGCCTTTAAATGTTAAAATTTAGCTGAAATTTTAAAACTAAATTGTGTAATTGTCGTGAATACAGTACGGAAAAACACGGCGGCGTTTTAGATTTGGATTCTCGGCTTCGTGTTTTTCTCCAAATCCTCCACATTTGAAAAGTGACGTGAACACTTTTCGTTTTGTCCACTGCTGTTTTTTTCAAAGTGGGACATCTTTTTTTGGCCCCCGCCGGCACCCCTCCCTCTGTTCTCTCCATCCTCTCTCCGTTTATCCCCGATAGAGATGGAAAAGTGTGTTCCCCCTCTCCTCCTGCTCCTCTCTCCCTCACCCTCCCTCACTCTCCTCTAGTCTTCCTTCTTCCTGTTTCTTTCCTCCCTTCCTCTACTTCCCCCCATTCCATTTCCTCTCTCTCTGTCTCTCTTCTTCTCCCTCCCTCTTTCTCCCACTTCCTTCTCTCTGCTCTTTTGCTGTCTGTTCTCTCTCTTCGCCTTCTCTCCTTTCTTTCCTGTATCCTACATCTCTTCTTTCTCTATGACTCCTCTCCTTCCTCTCTTACATCTGCATCCCTTTCTTTCCTCTCCTCCCTCTCTCTTCTCCTTTGCCCTGCGCTCTCCTCTCACCCACCTCTTTCCTCTCCTCCCTCTCTTCGCTTTCTTCTTCCCTGTCTTCTCTCTTCTTCTCACCCACACCTTTTTTTTCTGTCCCTTGCATCTCTCTTCCCTGTTTCCCCTCCTCCCTCTCTCATTCTCTCTCCCTCCCTCTCTTTCCTATGTCCTCTCTCTCTCTTCTCTTTCTTGCCTTTTCTCTATTCTCTCCTTCCTCCTCTCACCTCTCTTCCTGCTCTCTCTTCCATCCCCTCCCTACACCCCCCATCTTTCCATCTCTTTCCTCCTCCCTCCTTCTCCTCTCTTCCATTCCCTCTCTTGACTCCTTCCTCTCCTCCCTCTCTCCTTCCCCCTTCCCTCTCTTTTAATCCTTTCACCCCGTGCGGTGCACCCATGCCTCCCCTCTCTCCTCCTCCTCCTCTCTTCTTTTTACTCCTCCATCCCCTCTCTATCTCCTCTCTCCTTCACCTCTCTTCTCCCCCTTCCTCTCTCTCCTTCTCACTCCCCATCTTTTCACCCCCTCTCCTCCAGCCTCTCTCCTGCCTCCTTCTGCCCCCCTTCTCCTCTTTTCCATCTTTCCTCTCTTCTTCTTTCACTCCTCCACCCCTTCCCTATCTCCTCTCCTCTCCCCTTCCCTCTCTTCTCCCCCTATGTCTCTCTCTCTCTCACTCCCCATCTTTCCACCCCCTCTCCTCCTCTCTCTCTGCTCCTTCCTTCTCCTCCCTCTCCTCTCCCCTTCCTCTCTCTTCTCACCTTTCCTCTCTCTCCTTCTCGCTTCCCTTTTTTTATCCCCCTCTTCTTCCTCCCTCTCCCAGCGGTGTGCACATGTCTCCTCTCCCCTCTCTGCTCCTCCCCCTCTCTCTCCTTTCCTTCTCTCTTCCATCTTCTCTCTCCT